ATATAAAATATGCATATTCATTATAAATATTAAATGAAAAAAAAAATCTTAAAATAAAATAAATCTTAAAATAAAGTAAATATTTAATAATAATTGAATAATAATTAGTTTTTAACATTTTAACTGAGCATTAGATTACGACAAAGGTAAAAACTGAGGAATTAAGCATACACAACTAAATATATATTCAATATAGACAGATAATGATAAAATTAACGAATCTCTAATATTGGCCAATACATTGGGAATAACATACAATTCATATGGTATAGAAATGGCTTTTAAATGGACAGATTTCCCACATAAGCTCAACTGTGGAGCTCTGAACAATAGGCTATTGACAATACTTGCATGTAGACTTGCATCTAGCCCTGATACGATGGGAAATAATGCCTGCCCATGCCACCACAAGACAAGGCTGTTTATCATACAGGTCACTAACACATTGCACTTTTCTGCACTGACAAGTTCCAGGAAGTCAGAGTCCAGTTAGACATCTACCCCTACCCCAATCCCATCATAGACACCGTTTTGTCTAGAAAGACTGTAACCGTGACAACAGAGGGTTGCTTATTATGGGCTAGCAAGTGAAACTTGAAGTGCCAGGCACAGCCCCTCCCGTGCAGTTTTTCTTTGGGGTGGGGGATTGTGGGCCTGTTGTGCGATTTCCCCCTTTTTGTGAAAAGGAACACAGTGTCCATTATGCTTCCCTCCAAATCAGTGCCATCACTCATGACCGCTACAAGTCACAAATAGCCTATATACACATACATGCTAACACTGGTCCTAACAGTTGACTATCATTTGTCCAACATTCAACTAATGGATTAATGATGCTGACTAGTGTTTTTTAGTTTAGTTTAATATTTTTAGCTGTGTTGTTTTAAAGTCTTTCTATAACTGTTCGCACAAGTTTGTCTGCTCACCATTCTTCTGCCACTGATTTGGAGTTATTTCATACAGAGGTCACAAACCTTCAGGAAAAACATCTACAGGACCTGCTTACCAGAGACTGAGCAGAGCAAACACAGACAGGCCAGGTACAGTGAGGTAAACTGGATGGGCCATTTCCACCTGTGCATCCTTGGTTCCGCATTGGGCATCTTCCAACTAAGCAAGAGGACCTTGGAAAGAAAAAGACACCGAAGTTATACAGCCATTTTATCTGACCTATGTTAAACAAAAACTAAAAGTTGCTTGTAAAGTTACTTAGAATGTTTGTCATAC